CACTCCCAAGAGGCAAATACCACTATTCATATTTTATGGATGATGAAATTAAGGTTTAAAGAAGTTAAATTACTTGCTTACATTCTCCAGTTGTGGGAAGCTGGAAAACTGGCTATGCTCTTAGCTTCTCACACTCCTAAGGAGACTGTGGTACGGTTTTTTTGTTTTTGTTTTTTGGGTTTTTGTTTGTTTGTTTTTTGTTTTTCGAGACAGGGTTTCTCTGTGGCTTTGGAGGCTGGTCTCGAACTCACAGAGATCCGCCTGCCTCTGCCTCCTGAGTGCTGGGAATAAAGGCATGCGCCACCACCACCCGGCTTGTGGTACATCTTAGTATGTTTACTATAGAGGAACAGTGATCTGGGATTTTGGTTTTGGTTTTTTGAGATACGGTTTCTCTGCGTAGCCCTGTCGGTTATGGAATTCACAGATCAGGCTGGCCTTGGACTTAGAAATCTGCCCCAACTCCGCCCACCAAGTGCTGGGATCAAAGGTGTGCACCAACACGCCTGGCATGATCCGGGATATTACACAGATGGTCAGAGCTAAATATTTATTCAATCTCTTGGCACTTTTTTGCCTGTCTATGTACTATGGTTGTTTATTGTGTATATGTGGGTATGGTGCAGGTGTGTTCATGTATGTGTGGGTGTAGCCTGTGGAGGTCAGAGGAAACCCCAGGTGTCATCTTCAGAGACACTGTCTACCTCTGATCTGGAGGTCAATGGCTAGGCTAGACTGCCTACCCTAGGACCCCTCTTTGTCTCCCCAGCTCCGGGATCCAACCATATACCATGGCATCTGTCATTTTTAGGCATTCTGAGCATTTAACTTGTCTTCATGCTTGTCAGCACTTCACTTACTGAGCTAGCTACCCAGTCCGCCACGGTCATTTTATAATTAACGTGGTCAAGATGTAATTGTGGTCTAATTTTTGGTTCATGATGTAACTTTGGTATAATACTTAAACAGAACCAAGTAAAGAAACCAGACTGGATATCTCTGCTTTGAACACCGAGGATAGAGAATTTTAGTTGTGTACCTGTGAGAGCATAATAAACATGGCCCAGACAGCAGACACCCGACCTGGGGAGGGAGAACTGGTCCAGGAGTCAGTTACGTCTTACGTGTCGTACAGCCCATGCTGGGAGAGGGGACAGAGGAACATGGCACATTGGGATAGGGATGCAGCTGCACGATGAGTGTGTTCCTAATGTGCAAAGGCTTTGGGTTCCATCTCCAGTTCCAGTTAACAAAGAAAAAAATGCAAGCAATATGACAAAGCTGATATTCTGGGGGAACATCTGTTGTTGACTTTTTAGGATTTTATTTTGATTCATTATCTTTAAAGTTTATCTTTTAAAATTTATTTTATGTGTATAGGAATTTTGCCTGTGTGGCTATCTGTGTGCCTGGTACCCATATAGACCAGGAGAGGGCTTTGGATTCCCTGATATTGAAGTTGCATACAGTTGTGAGCCACTATGTGAGTGCTAGAAATTGAACCCAAGTCCTCTGGAAGAGCAACCAGTGCTCTTAACCACCAAGCCATCTCTCCAGTCCATTTATTTTCAGTTATGTGCATATGGGGGTAGTGTGTGCGTGAGTGCAGGTACTCTCAGGCCAGAAGACAGTGTCAGATACCTGGAGCTGGAGTTATAGGTTAGTAGCTACAACAGTGTATATCCTATTGTCTATGTCTGTGGAATGGCTGGGTAGTTCTTGCCGACTTTCTGTGGAGGTTGCAGCCAGACGGCCCTGCTGGACTGTTTGGTACTCCTATCATTTCTTTTGAAGCCCATGCTAATAGACATAGCATCCAGTCTCTTGCCATTATAGAGCAAAGTTTTAAAGCACCACACATGAAATACACCTTCAAACCAAACCCCTTCCCTTCTGAGAAGTGATACAATTTGGCAGAAACTAGTTATTGGCTCTGATCCTTAGCCAATTGTCTTTGTCTCTTCACAAAAATTAGTATTTGTTTTATGTGTATGAATGTTTGGCTACATGTATGTGCATATATCATGTGTGTGCCTCATGCTCAAGGAGGTCAGAAGACAGTATTAGATCTCCTGGAATTGGTGTTACACACAGTTGGAGCCATCATGTGAGTGCTGGGACCTTCCTCTTGAAGAGCAACAGGTACTTTTAACATCTCTGAGGCATCTCTCCAGCCAGCCAGCCAGCCATCCATCATCCATCCATCCATCCATCCATCCAGCCATCCATCATCCATCTATCTGTCTATTTTCGAGGCAGGGTTTCTTTGTGTAACAGCCCTCCTGTCCTAGAGCTCACTATGTAAACCAGGTTGGCCTCAAACTCACAGAAATCCGACTGCCTTGACTGTGTAGCCTGGATCTTACTATGTAAAAGACTGGCCTCAAACTCACAGAGATCCGCCTACCTCTGCCTGCCAAGTGCTGGGATTAAAGGCGTGTGCTGCCACCACCCAGATTCCCACCCTTATCTCTCCTCTCATCTCTGTTTGACTTGGTTTCTCTGCAGCCCTCTCCCTTGGTGTTCCACGTCCCAGCAACTATGACATCTTTTTGGGAAAAAGCTACTTTTGTGGCAGTGCTTTGACCATAGGACTCAATCAGTCACTTAGTGCTAATTCAGACAAATTAAGCTGTAAGCCAGTGAGAATGAATAGGAGAGGAAGCAGCCGAGGAAACTCTGCTCTGGCATCCTGTGTCCTCCCTGCATCCTTCTACTTGCTCCCAGCTGCCCAGCGCACTGTGTGCTGCCTTTGGGCGTGGAGGGATGGGAGGCAGTGGTGTTAGTGGGCATGTGCTGACTGTCTCAAGGCCTTGAGTGGAGGAGTCCACATGAACTCTCCAGATACTATGCTCTCTGGAATGGAATGCAGTGAAGTACAGGCAGCCCTTTATACCCGTGGCTTCCACATCCTGTGGATTCAACCTATTTGAAAAGAACACAGTGTCTATGCTATACATTTACAGATCTTTTTCTTGTCTCTTGTCCTTATTCCTAAAATAGAGCAGCCTAACACTAGTCACTTAGAGTCTACATTGGTACAAGGTTCTATAGACATCTGTTTAGGTCGTGTAGATGTAAATGGGATGATAGCCATACTTGGTACAAAGCCACAGTGTTTTATATTAGGGGCCTGAGCACTCGAAGCATTTAGTATCCGCAGAGGATCCTGCTACCAATCTCTGTGTGCCAAAGGATGGCCGACTCTAAGGACTAGTGCCTAGCCTCATTTCTTTTTCCTTTTCCTGCCTAACCCTCCACTAACTACCCCATCTCTTTATTTATATGCTCATTTGTTTGTTTATTTGAGGCAGGTTTTCTCTGTGTAGCCCTGGCTGTCCTAGAATTCACTCTGTAGACCAGGCTGGCCCAGAACTCAGAGATCCACCTGCCTCTGCCTCCCAAGTGCTAGGATTAAAGGTGTATACCACCACTGCCCATATATATATATATATATATATATATATATATATTTTTTTTTTTGTAGGTACTAGGGATAGATACAGGCCCTGCATGTCCAGGTGATTGCCTTGATGCTGAGCAGCACCTCCAGTCCTTGGCCTTCTTATAGATGGTTTTGGCAGAGCAGCTGGACCATCTACAGGGTCTGACCTGGTGGCACACATCTGAACTTTTAGCACATCAGATCTGGTGTTTCACCTCACATGGATGGTCAATCCAATGTTTGTCCAGAGAGACAGCAAATGTGGCTGAGATGGAGTACAGTCTGGAGGCTGGAATTCAGTTGTGGTCTCACTGATAATAAATCTCTGTGATGATTTTATTTGTGCACAGTTTAGGTGTCTGGACCTGGGGCATGGCCCAGCTTGGCGGTTTTCATCTGAATGGTTAGGTGGTGGTGATCCTGGGTTACATTGGAAGGTTCAATGAGGCTTTATGCATAGCTAGCACCATGGTGTTCTGGCTCTCCACATGGCCAGCTTAGCCTGCTTGGCTTCCCACATGGAGACTGGCTTATGAATGGGGGGCAGTGACACTACCAATGTCCTGTATCCCAGAATTCATGCATCATTTCTGCTCTCTGTTAGTCTTGAGCCCTGCCCTGGCTCAGGGGAAGAGATGTCATCTCCATCCTTCCCCTACTCCTTTTCAAAACTTTGAATTACATTTGGTTATTGTGTGGGGTATGCTGTGGTGTGTGACAACCCTCAGGAACTGGTTCTCTACTTCCGCCATGTTGGTCTCAGGTCATCAATCTTTGGCAGCAAAGTCAGCAGCAAGTGCCTTTACTCACTGAGCCATCTCACTATCTCTGTTTCTGTTGGTGTCTGGAGCAGTACTCAGAGGCACAGAAAAAAGAGTTAGCTGTGTCTGTCTTTGGGAGCCACCAGGATCCAGACACCTTCCTTCTGTTCCTCCATCCTCAGCGTTGGCTTCTTCCTTAGTTGGGGTAGCTGCTGGGACTCTGGCTACTGGAAACCTCTCTTCCTCCCCTAATCTCAGCACTCTGGAGGCAGAGGCAGTCAGATCTCTGAGTTCAAGGCCAGCCTGTTCTACAGAGAGATAGTTTCAGGACAGCCAGGTCTACACAAAGAAACCTTGTCTCAAAAAAAAAAAATCAACAACAACAAAAAAAACTGCTGTAAGGGGCTGGAGAGATGGCTCGGTGGTTAAAAGCTCTGGTTGTTCTTCCAGAGGACCTGGGTTCAATTCCCAGCACCTGCATGGCAGCTCACAATTGTTTGTAACTCCAGTGACACCTTCACACCAATGCATATAAAATGAAGTTAAGTAAATTATTAATATATCTGCTGTAAGATGGTGCATAGACAGGAGTTAGAGGTCTGCTGGAGGAAGAAGGGGAGGATACCATGCAAAGCATTTACCAGTACCGGCGTCTGTACACCTTTCCCAAAGCAGAGCCTGCTTGCGCCTTTAGGGAACAGAAGCCATAGCCAGACTCAACCTAGAGAGAACGCATGTCTCGGGGTTCCCAAGTGAGACCCCTGTGATCTCACACGCTCTCTCTCTGCTCCCAGTTTACCACAGGCACGTGCGATGACTCTGTGATTCACAACTGTGACCTGTGTGGCAAGGGCTTCCGCCTGCAGCGCATGCTCAATCGTCACCTCAAGTGCCACAACCAGGTAAAGAGGCACCTGTGCACCTTCTGCGGCAAGGGCTTCAATGACACCTTCGACCTAAAGAGACACGTACGCACACATACAGGTGAGGCTGCACACGTGATTCGTTCACTTCTGGTTCCATTGTCGTCTCCTCCTGTCCCTTCTCCTCCCACCCCTCCCCCCAAACAAGTCTGGAGTTTAGAGCAGCAGGATGGTATTTCTGGAAAGGACACAGGATGAGGCATTTGGGGCTATCCAAACTGGGTTTACTCCCTGACTCTGCCACCTGCCAGCCTGGGACACACAGGCCACCTTTCATGGTCTGATTTTGCTCCTGCAAGGTGGGCATGATATCCAGGAGGCTAACACAGAAAGTCTCTACTGTAACGCAGCCCTCTTAGTCTGGCAACAGAATGGGATGCTTATCAGTTTAAAAATTTTTTTTCTTTTTGGTTTTTCGAGACAGGGTTTCTCTGTATTGCTTTGGAGGCTTCCTGAAACTCTCTCAGTAGACCAGGCTGACCTCAGACTCACAGAGAGCTGCTTGCCTCTGCCTCTTGAGTGCTGGAATTAAAGGTTTGAGCCACCACCGCCCGGCCCACTTTAAAATATTTTGTGCCTCTTTCTTTACTCTTGTTGCTGTCTGTGGTTTTGTTTTAAGATAAGGTTTTGTCATGCAGCCTGGCTTTGAACTCTCCGTCCTCCTTTTTGTGCTTCCCAAGGGCAGAGATTTCGGGTATGTGCCACTGTGCCTGGCTGACTTCACAAAGGAAGCCCGGCTCAGGCCTCCTGATCCTTCTGAAGCAGCAGAACAGCTGCCCTGAGCTTCCTGCTGGAGCAGACATCTTTCTTGGGGCCTCTTCCTTGGCTTTCCAACTTTTCTTCTTCTTCCTCCTCTCTCTTTTTTTTTAATGTAAGGGATAAAACCTAAGACCTTGTGCATGCTAAACAAGCACTCACCACTGATCTACACAGCCTGTTTTCCAATATAGGCAGTCTGGATTTGAGACCTCCTCTTGCGTGTTCACCTTTTGCCTTTGTCGAAAACCTGCTGATTGGTCACAAGCTTCATTAGTTTTATCTTAGGCACATCTGGCCTCTAGGCTTCTCCACTTGAGGCCCGGTCTATGCCTTTGGCCCAGTAAGTCCTGGAGGAAAATTGTAAGGATGCCACTTCTCAGCTCAAAATTCTGCAACTCCAGGTAGAGTAGATACAGGTGCCTCCATATCACATGAGGCCTCTAACCATGCGGTGTTGTCATCAAGGATACATTAATGCCATCCCATCCCATTTAAACGTGACCCCCTCCCCTGCCCCCGAAACAGAACTTCTCTGCATGTATTCCTGGCTGTCCTGTCGCTCTGTAGACCAGGCTGGCTTCAGACTCACAGAGACCAGCCTGCCTCTGCCTCCGAGTACTGGGCTTAAAGGCGTGTGTCACCACTGCTGGGCAAACATGACCCATCTTAAACTGTTAAGTCTTGCCCTGACCCACCATCCACCCTCCTGACAGCCTTACACTGTGTACATAGCCCCATCCCACAGATTCTCTCAGAATTTAAGGTTCGCCCATCAGAAAGAGACCTCAGCTCCTCAGTCTCAACCAGGGACTTTGTATTTTCTTTCCCAGCTGTTGCTATGGTTTATTTTTCTTATCGTGATGGCATGAGCTGCCTCCTTGGCCTGGAAAGAGTGTCCCCCATTTTATAAAGTGGGATGGTCTACAAAAGATACCTTTCTTTTGGGGGATTGCTTGAGGAGGGGGGCGTGGAGACAGAATTTCTCTGTGTAGTTTTGGCTGTCCTGGAAGTTACTCTGTAGACAAGACTGGCCTCAAACTCAGATATTCACCTCTCTCTACCTCTGGAATGCTGGGATTAAAGTCATTTGCCACATGCATGCCTATACTGTTCCTTTAAAAACAAAATACTTGTTGCCAGGCGTTGGTGGCGCACACCTTTAATCCCAGCACTCAGAGGCAGAGGCAGGCAGGTCTCTATGAGTTCGAGGCCAGCCTGGTCTACAGAGCGAGTTCCAGGACCGCCTCCCACAGAGAAACTCTGTCTCCAAAAACCAAAAATAAAATAAAATTATTTCTTTCTAAACTGAACTTTTCATTGGAATGACATAACCAGGTGGTGGCGGTGGCAGTGGCCAGCCTGGTCTACAGAACAAGTTTTAGGGCAGCTAGAGCTATGCAGAGAAACCCTGAGGGGAAAAAACAAAACAAACAAACAAAAAAACCCCAAACAAATTACATATCTAGAAAAATGCATAAATTACAAGTCCCTAGATTTAGATGCATGCAATTAAAATCAAATTTTAAAAAAATATTTTAAAAATTTTAAAAAGAATATTTCTAGCCCTGGAGGTCATTACCTTCTCCCAGTAGCCTGATTTCCTTCAGGGGAGTCACTGTCATGACTTCTAATTAATATATATGACCATTTTTTAACTTGATATACAAGGGATCTGTACCTCCTTTGAATCTGGCTACATGCATTTTTCAGTCTCTAAAGACTAATTGATATGTATTGGAAATTGAATCCAGGGCCTTGAACACACAATGCAAGTGCTCTAACCCTGAGATGTAATCCCAGCCATTTTAACTTTTTATTTTGAGAAGGGTCTTACTAAGTTGATCAGACTGGCCTTGAACTTACTGAGTAGCCCTGGCCCGTCTTGAAGCAGCAGTTCTAGTGATTGACAGGTGCCTCCCGATGTGGAAATCTGGGGCCACACTAGTCAGGTCTGCACCACGTCACTGGCTCAGTGTGACTGCTGAGCCCCTGCCTCTGGACTAGTAACAATTAGATGTGGTTTAAGACTTGATAAGAAAAACAATCTCAAGTTTTAAAGTTTAAAATGATTTATCGAAGAAAATCTCTTTAGCCCTAGTACTTAGGGGCAGAGGCAGGAGAATCTCAGTGAGTTCTAGGACAACCTAGAATATATTGAGACCCTGTTTCAAAAAAAAAAGAATCTTACCTGTTTGGTGTGTGTGTTTGTGTGTGTGTGTGTGTCTGTGTGTGTTTGTGTGTCTGTGTCTGTATGTGTGTGTGTCTGTGTCTGTATGTGTGTGTCTGTGTGTGTGTGTCTGTGTGTGTCTGGGCTAGGGAATGAGGGTCCAGATGCTGGTTCATTGGAATAAACCCAGTGATGGGGAGGAAAACCTCCATAGCATTTTTTTTTAATGTGTCAGTAGCTGGCTGTGGTGGAATATGCCTATAATCACTAGGGAGGTGAAGACAGGAGGATTGTGAGCTCTAGGCCAGCCTGGGCTACACAATGACTTATAGACAAGCAACAAACACCTCCTCCCTCACATACACAAACCCAAACAAACCAGAATAAACAACAATAAAAATCAGAAAATGAGTGGCAATTTTCATGCCTTGGAAGCAGCTCCATATTAAAATGATTTATGAAGGAGGGCTCCTGGGAGGAACTTGTCAGGCAGTGAAGGCAATTGGAGAAAGAGGAAAATGTGCTAGCCTCAGCCCTATCCCAGAGGGCTCTGGGATTTGAAGGATACTTCAGTGCTGTGGATGCCTTGTCTGTGCCCATTTCAATCAGACAAAGCTGAAGACCTTTTCACTCCTGGACATTGGGAAAGTCAGTTTTTAGTGCTCAAACCTTGGAGAAGGGGACATCCAGGAGCTGTGAGCTGCCAGCCCACATGGCCACTGGGGTATGTGACAGCCCAAGAAGAGGGTCTGGGTGGGGGAGCCAACACTGTCTTCTGCATACTTGTAATTGCTTTGGTCCAGTGTCAGGGACCGGGCCACAGGGGCAAGACTCATCCACATCAAAACAGAGGAGCCCTGAGCATTAAAGGAACACAATATGTATGTTCAATTCACAACCTGAGAAAAACACCACAGAACGGAATTCTCTTGAATGTTCTATACGTAGGCCAGCCAGGTTACTTCCTAAGAATGGCTGCCTGTTAGCAAAAATGTTTAGGAGAGAGCGATCTGTGTATTTGAGTGAAGAATACTGAGCAAGCCTTGCATGTGCAGGACTCCATACGAGTGTCCACACCTACGCTATTTGGTGTGGTTTGAGGACCTAGTTGGTGGACATGCACAACCACACATTTTGATGCCCCAAGGTGCCAACTTCACTGTACACAGTACTTACTGAAAGTATTTTATTTTCCTATTTGATAAAATGAATGTTTATGCTGCCAAAGACTTTAGATAGCATAGAAAGTGTCAGCTCCCATGAGTGGTTGATAGGGCCAAGCACATCAGTGAGGTTCTGCTCAGTCTTGGAGAGAGAGGGTTGGTTAGGCCTGGGAAAATGATAACCCATGTTTTTCAAGGTGTGGTGACTTATGCCTGTAATCCCAGTACTCAGAGGCAGAGATAGGAGGATTACTGAAATTTAGTGTCAAATTGAGCATTTTTTTTCTTGTAGAGGGCCTGGGTTCAGTTTCAAGCACCCAAAATGGTAGCTTACCAGCTTTATAACTCCAGCTCTCTGGGGGTCTGATGCCTTCTGACTTCTGCAGACATAATAAATACACTTTGTGGGCTTTTTTTTTTTTTTTTTTTTTTTTTGGTTTGTTTGTTTTGAGACAGGTTCTCACCTTGTAATTCTGGCTGACCTAGAACTCAGTATGTAGACCAGGTTGGCCTCAACTCCCAAATGGAGGGAGGATATATCAAGGTGTTCACAGTTTTCCCCAGCTACACAGTGAGTTTAAGGCCAGCCTGGGCTACAGAAAAAAAAAAAAAACAACAACAAAAAACCAAAACCTTGAAGCTCCAGATGTAGTAAGAGGCCCATGCCTTTCCTGTAGACTGAGTTCCATAGAGAGAACCTGAGGAATTCCAATTTGAGGTCAGGGCTGGGGAGGGGCTGCCCACAGGCCAGGGGGCCCTCTTGCCTTATCTTACATCAGGGGCTACATTGAGAGAGGCCAGAAGGCAAACAAACCGCAGCCTGACTAAAGCTGAGGAGACAATGGTGTCCTTTGTTTGGAGCCTAAGGAGAAGGATTGATTGGATTGGGAAAAATGCAGATCAGACGTTTAAGGTAGGGCTGCTAGCTGAGGAAGCTAGGAATCCGTTCCCCAAGAGCCCCAGCTCCCATGTGAAATTGCCTCCTCGACAGTTTCATTTTTAGTTTAACTTTCTTTTTTTTTTTTTAGCCAAACAGATAATTTTTTTAAATAGGGGAAATTGAAAATGAGACTTAAAAAGCAAGCCTCTGTACAGCCCTAGCTCCTTTCTGAAAGCGATTTGCCATTTGTTTTCGTTGTTGTTATTGTTTTGGTTTTTTTCTCCTGAACGCTTCTAAAACATGTAGCTGCTGTCATGGGAACTAGATCTTGGGCCTTGCTTGGTGTCTACATAATGATGCACCTTACTCCTTTTCATCATTGCCCATTTAATACGAAATCATGACAATTCCATCACAGTTCTTTTCCAGTTCCCAATAGAAATACTTGCTTCCGCCGGGCGGTGGTGGTGCACGCCTTTAATCCCAGCACTGGGGAGGCAGAGGCAGGTGGATCGCTGTGAGTTTGAGGCCGGGCTGGACCGACAGCCTCCAACTCGTAAAAAAGAAAAAAAAAAAAGAAATACTTGCTTCCATTTTCAGGCTGTCATGCCGTGCCCCTGCCTTCTGTTTTCTTTAATTCTGACAATGCCACCATGGGTTTTCTTATATATCCTTTGCCCACCAGTGTGAGTCTATCTATAACAGAACTTCCCACAAGTGAACTTACTAGGCCAATGGGCAGGAACGTTCTGGATTTATGGGCATTGCCTGCTTGCCTTCCTGGGAGGCTGCCCTCAATGTCTACTCCCACAAAGGAGGCCAGTAGCAAGGCTTGTTGGAGTTCACAGTTGGATCAAAGTCAGGAAAGGAGCACTTGACAAGAGGAAGGGAACATGACAGAGAGTTCCAGCAGTGAGGGATTTACCTGGAGATGTGGGATATAAACTCAGTTTAGGGTTAGGAATAAACAACTCAAAAGTCTTTGTTAACCCCCAAAAGAACTTTTTTTTTTGAGCTAGGTAATAAAGACTTAGGATAGAGGATTCAAAAGATCAGTCTCTGCTAGTCATCTAGGGACCACTGTAAAGATTCAGGCATTATTCTGGCCTGCCCCTATCACCTGGCAGAATGTATTCAGACAGTGCCCTGGTCAGCACAGGGTTCCGAGTCTGCACGCAGGTACAAAGGACCCCTTTAAAAAAAGACCCCCCCCACCCACTTATGCCTCTTTTCTCTGTCCTCATCCCCACCCCCGCCCCTTTCCCTTTCTAATAAACCTCACTAAGCCATCTGCCTGGCATGTTTGTCTGTCCCCACTTCTGTCACCCTCGCCTGCCATGGAATCCGCCAAGGTTCATCCCCCTCTATCATAACAACCCCTTTCTTTTTTATTCTTTTTTTGATGTTGTGAAGTACATTAATACATAAAAGGTGTAGTTGAAAGGCAAACGCTAAGTACTTAGGAATATGGCAGCTGGTTCCTGCCTGGCGTGTTTCCGTTGTGTTGAGCTGGACTCTAAACACTGAGGTCGTATCTCGCTGAATACCTAGTGTTCACCAGATCCTGCGATGTCTCAGTTAATCCTCGGCCCAGCCATCCCTGGGTGTGAGTAGTATCTGCATTTTGTGGATGAGGAGACTTGAGCTGTGGAGGGAGGGGTTAACAGACTGACTGTAGACTCCGTTAATGAGTGGCAGATGTGCAATTCCAGGCTTTTCAGTGGCCTTGGACTTTGGAACTCAGGTAGGTGTCAGTAGGTTAATTATGTCTGGCAATAGGTGGTGCTTTAAGCTCCCAGCCTGTTCTTTTGACTAGGACAGGATTGACTTTTGCTAGACAGTGAGAGATGGGTGAGGTCTTGCTGGGGGAGGGGAGCATAGTGTTCATTCCCCTGAAGGAGGGGGAAACAGTCAGTGCTCCAGGAGCAAGGAGCTAATTCCCAAGCCCCGGAAGGAGCGTTTCTTTGGACAAGACATCTGTCTGCAGGAATGAGATCATGGAGTCAGAAGAGGAAGCAGGAACACTGGGCAGAGATCAGGTTTACAAGGCAGAAGTGTCATAACTAGAGCTATTATGGTCTGTCTCCCGTGTCTACATCACAAGGCACCCAGCCTCAAAACCAGGTCCAGCACCTACACTATACCCTCTTGGAGAAAACCTAGTCACCTCCTTTCTTTACTAGCCAGGTGACACAGAGCCCCAAAATCTCCTAACCCTGGCTTCTCAGCTTACTGGGTGCTCTGCCAGGCGATAGGTTCTGCACATGCTAGACCTACTGTGGTCCAGGCCACCCCTGGAGTAGGAAGCTCCACGCCTAGGGCCAGAAGCATTCATTTCTTTCTTTTTCTTTTTTTTTTTTTGGTTTTTCGAGACAGGGTTTCTCTATGGCTTTGGAGGCTGTCCTGGAACTCACTTTGTAGACCAGGCTGGCCTCGAACTCACAGAGATCCGCCTGCCTCTGCCTCCCAAGTGCTGGAAGCATTCATTTCTTACACACACACACACACACACACACACACACACACACACACACAGTGGAATATCATAGCCTTAAGAGTAAATTATTTCATCTGCAGGAAGATGGAACTGGGAATCCTCAGGTGAAGAGAAGTAAGTGACTCAAAAAGACCGATATTGCTTGTTTTCTCTCTTATGTGGAATCTACGTTGTTTGTGCTGTGATAACAGACCTGGGCTTCTGAACCTGACTTTAACTGTAGATTTAAATGTCTCCCTACTTCTGCCTGATGGGGTCTCCCTATATAGAGTAGCCCAGGAGGTCCCCACATTCTGACTGGGGTTCCGGGGCCACCACTGCATACAGCATTTCACTTAAAAAAAAATAACAAAATATACTGAGTCATCTTTATGTGTGAGTGCAAGCATGTGGTGGCCAGAGTTGTGACATCAGGTGCCCTCTATTCTTTCTATCCTCCCCCTCCCTCGAGTGTGCGTGCGTGTGTGTGTGTGTGTGTGTGTGTGTGTGTGTGTGTGTGTGTGTGTGTGTGTGGTGTCTGCCTGTACTTGCCATGTGTGAGTTTGGAGGTCAGAGGACAACTTATGGGAGCCAATTCATTTCCTTCCTTCCACCAGGTGAGTTCAGGCATCCAAACTCAGATGGTCAGTCTTGGTGACTATTTGTTTTAGCCATTAAGTCATTTCATTGTGCCCCTACCTCTCCTAGCTCCCTTTTCTGAGAAAGGGTCTCTCACTTGGCTTGGAACTTGTCAGTCAGGCTAGGCTGGCTGGCCAGTAAGTGCCAGAGATCCACCTGTCACTGATTTCTAGAAAGACAAGGTTTCATGGTACAGTCCAGACTGACACTGGTTTGCTTCTGCCTCTGAGTGCTGGGATTAAAGGTGTGTGCCATTGTAAATGAATTACATTTGCACTTAGCATGACTATAAGCATAGTTCTAAGCAAATGAGAACATTTCAAATTTCTTTCCCTCCCACTGTGCTATTGTTATAGTAAGACTTCTAGAGGTCAGAGTTTTAACATTAATCAAATGGAGTTTCCTTTGGATCTGTCAACCGCCAGCCACACCCTTGCTTTGTAAATACAGGTTCTAGGGTTGAACGCAGACCCTTGGGCTTGCTTACAAAGCAGGCACTTCACCAGCTGAGCTGTCCGTGCCCCCCCCCAACCTGTCACCTACCGTGTAAGTTCTTTTTCCATTTGTTCCCTGCGATGCTCAGCACAGTGTAAATGCTCTGCTCTGTCTCCTGTCATGTCCAGCACAAGTGGCTTCTTCCTTTCGTGTCTTTCTCCTTCATTGTCTAACCCATGTTTCCTGGGATGGTCTCTCCAATAAACTCGCTTTAGGATCTTTGTCTTGGTGTGTTTCCAGGAAAACCCACAGTACATAAAATGAAAATGCCACTAGAAGATGAAGCCATTAAGGCAGACCAGTGGGAAGAATATAAATCTCCTAGAGTCGGAGTGTTGCGTGTCCAACTGTGTTAGGTTTGTTCATGGAGACACCAAGACCCTTCTAGATGGTTCTGGCTCCATTTTCCTCACATTGTCAAAAGATCTTGGTCGTGGGAAACTCCAGTGGCTTCATAGGAGGGAAGCTTGGGCTTGGCTATGACCGGCGGGTGACATGTCTGCCCCTCATCCTTGCAGGCATTCGCCCCTACAAATGTGATGTCTGTTACAAAGCCTTCACCCAGCGGTGTTCCTTGGAGTCCCACCTGAAGAAGATCCACGGTGTGCAGCAGCAGTATGCCTATAAGCAGCGTCGGGACAAACTCTATGTGTGTGAGGATTGCGGCTACACGGGCCCCACCCAGGAGGACCTGTATCTTCATGTGAACAGTGCCCATCCAGGTAGCACGTTTCTCAAAAAGACATCCAAAAAGTTGGCGGCCCTTCTGCAGAACAAGCTGACATCCCCGCTGCAGGAGAATTCCACCCTGAGCGAAGAGGAGGAGAAAAAGTGAAGAGTAAGAGAAAGCAGAGGAGAAATGCCCGGTGCCACGTTTACTTGGACCTTTGGTTCTGAGGTGTACCTCTCCTCTGCTCTGCTGGCTCTTTTTAGTGACAACTGTTCGGTCCACCTCTCTTTTCTTTTGGGACAGCAACAGTAAGATGCACCCCAAAACTGTCAATTGTTCTGCCACAACAGGCCCTGTACTGTGTGTCTGTTTTGTTGGTGGCTGAGATCAGATACGGGTTTTGTGTGTGTGTGTCTATGTTACATGTATTCTTTTTTTCTAATGGAATTTTCGCACGTGAATAGAGGGGTGGTCTTAAAGAGACCATCATCTTATGGTGCCTTGAAACGCTACTCAAGCAAGGAAAATGTATATTCTTCTGAAAGCGTTTACAGAAACTATTTTAATAAATGAAATGTTCATGTGAAACTTCTCTTTAAAAATCAAAATAGTGTTGAGTTTCAGCTATCCTGTTAAGGGTTTACCTGACACTGGACTCAGTTACCAGGAGAGAGGTTGATGATTCTGTCTTGGTGGAGAGGATTTAAACAGGCCAATCTTGCCAGTTGGGTGAGACAAATGGTTGGTTGCTGGGATAAACCCAGCACCAAGAGGCTGGTTCGTGGATAGATGGGTCTGGAGGCACAACATTCGAGAACTCATCGTTCTTTTGGTGACCCTGGGGTTCTTGTGGTCTTTGGCTTTATGAGCTAGGACTTGCTGGATGAAGGGCCCTCCTTCCTCCCTGGAGGCTGGCCCTAGGTGAAGCATGTGACAAGCCCTGGAGCATGAGATACTAGCCCAGGCATGATGTACACCTGTTGAGGCTTGGCTGAGCAGCAGACGGGGCTCCTTCAGGGAGCCGGACAGGGAATGCAGCAACCTTGAGCAACACCTCCCTCTCCTCACCTTGGAGTTCCATTCCTAGATGTGGGAGAGGTTAACAGTCAAGTCTACCTTTGGACACAACAAAGGAAAAGGGGAAGCTGCAAGCTGAGTGGGTGAGGAGGTGGTTTCCATGGCCACTGTGCAGCAGGAAGGGCCCAGACCCTCCCTTGGGAAGCCCCTTAGCCAAGAAAGACTTGACAGTCAGTCTGTCCTGCCTCTCCTGAAGCACCAGGTGGGTGGGTTACAGCTTCAGAGTACAGTTGAGCAGCTATGGTCAAGGCATAAGCAGAGGACTTCATGTGGCACAGGGTGCAGCCGTCATTCAGGGCTCCACCCTGCATTCAGAGGACAAGCTGCTGACACAGGCTCTTAGTTCTTGCCACAGAGTCTGAAAGTCAGCTGGCTCTCTTTCCCCCAGTCATGCAGGTTTGGGTAGTGACAAAGTGAGCTGCTCTGGCTGGAAGTGTATGGCTGGCTGCCTTTGGTGTCACACGGGTACTGGGAATAAGGTAATGCTCCCAACAGGACTAAGTTTTTTTATGAAACAGTTTGCTCAGTTGCAGATGACAGAAACCCAGTTTAAAATGGCATTAACAATGGTTTGCATAGTTCTTCCATGACCAGGAGCTGGCAGGAAGCCTCTCTAGGAAGATCTGCTGGAATCAGGGCTGGAAATCCTAAGGTTCTAGGAAGGTTGAGAGGCTCAGCAGGCAGAAAGTGCTTGTTGCTGAGCCACACACTAAGCTTACCCTCTACGACCCACACAGTAAAGAACTGACTCCCACAAGTTGTCCTTGAGCCTTCTTTTGGACACTATGGTACCTACACACCCCACCCCAGACGGACACAATTTTTTTTTTTTTTTTTTTTTTTGGTTTTGGTTTTTCGAGACAGGGTTTCTCTGTGGCTTTGGAGGCTGTCCTGGAACTCACTCTGTAGACCAGGCTGGCCTCGAACTCACAGAGATCCGCCTGCCTCTGCCTCCCGAGTGCTGGGATTAAAGGCGTGCGCTACCAATGCCCGGCTGGACAAAATTTTTTAAAACCTCAGGTTTCAGGATGGCCCAATATAATACTCAAGAAACAGCCCTGTCATCTTTCCCTCCATCTTTTCTGTGATCTTATTGAGACGGGCTGGGTGGTGGTGGTGGCACATGCCTTTAATGGCAGCATTTGGGAGGCAGGAAACTCCGTGAGTTTGAGGCCAGTGTGGTCTACAGAGTGAGTTACAGAACAGCCAAGGCTATTACACAGAGAAACTCTGTCTGGAAAAATCAAAAATAAATAAATAGATAAATAAATAGAGACAGGATCTTGCTATACGGCCCAAGCTGTTCTTGAATTTATAATCCTGCCTAAGTCTCCCAAGCAACTAGACATGTCATTACAATCATGTACCACCACTGCCCTCATCTTTGAGCTTTTTCTCCCTCTGTGGCTTTGTAGGCAGGTTCTGGTGTTCCTATCTGAGATGGTGGTAAATTTGGTTCTGGGAGCCACCTTGAAACATCACTGTGCTCTGGTTGATGTGTTGCTCTCTTGCCTAGGTCTGAGATACGTGCTCCCACTGCCCCCTGAATCAGGTGTAGTGAATGGATTAGCAACAGTCCTAGAAAGTGGCTCCCCAGCAGAAAACCAGGGTGATGGGACTCAAAGGAAAATGAATGTTGGACAGGTGTAGTGGCTAAGATCAGACAGCTCGGGGCTGGAGAGATGGCTCAGCAGTTAAGCACACTATCTGCTCCTGCTGAGGCCTAGAGTTTGGTACCTCCGCTGGTACCTACTCTACTGCATGCACGTGTGCACATGCACATGCGCGCGTGTGCGCGCACACACACACACGCACACACAATTTAAAAATAATCAAATTATTTTAAAAAATCAGACAACTCTGTTACAAAGATGCCCAGTGAATAGTGTGGCACGTCAGGGACCCCAATTTCTCACCTTGTGTCACTCTGCCGTGTCCTAGAATGTTGCTAATACATGCTAGCTGAAGCCAGTATAACAGTGGGTAGCCATTTTGGATATGGTTTTCACAAGAAACGGATTCCACGTTAAGTGTTGAGAATACAGGGGACTGGGAGGTAATTCCAGGAAGCATCTATAGGGATAGAGCAAGAGGGATAGGAAGGAAAGACAGTTGGTAAAGGACACAGAAGCTGGAAAGTTATTGCTAGGGGAAACTGGAGATCTGGAAGGCAGGAAGCATGACTGACTGCCCTCTAGAGGAGTAGGCAGAGGAAACCTCACAAACTGTGCATCCATCATTGGTTGAGGTCTTTTGCCGTTGAAGGTGTTGTTTCTGAACTCTTCCAACTTGTCCATGATTGCACTGGCCATGTGTACTTGCTGCGCCTGGAACCCCTCTTCCTCCCATCATGAGAGTTGCTGTGGTCAGTCAGAAGAGCCTTCAGGCCATAGACCTAGAAGCTGATCAACTACAGGAGAGAGATATCCATGTCTGTACATGTCTGGAAAAGGTCCCTCTCACTGTGTGAAGGTACTTGCCATACACAATATGTGACTTTTATACTTCCTTGTGGGGGATCCTTGAGGAGGATGTAGCTACATCAACCGAGGGTAGGGCATATAACTTCCTCAATAAAACTTATATGTGAAAAAGTTGGGGAATGGATTGTGATAGACAACTTGTAGCAAAATCATCTCTATTGACCTTTTAATTTAGTGGGGGGGGGGTGACTACATTGTAGAATATACTTTTAGGTTTCAGCACTTGGAAAGCAGAGACAGACAGATCTCTGTGAGTTCTTGGCCAGCCTGGTCTACATAACAAGTTCTAGGACAGTCAAGATGACGTAGAGATCCTGTCTCAAAAAGGGAGGAGGTCACTGGAGAGCTGGCTCAATGGTTATGAGCTCCTCTTCCAGACCACCTGAGTTCATCACTCACATGGCAGCTCACAACTGTCTGTAACTCCACTTCCAGGGGATCCAATACCTCACGCAGACACACATGAAGGCAAAACATCAATGCACATGAAATAAAAATAAGTCATTAAAAATGTTCTTAAAATCAGAGGTTTTTGTTGTTATTCGTTTGTTTTTTGTTTTTTGAGATATGTATGTCTAGGCCAGAGGTGACCCAGAGGCATTGTTCAAGTATCTTGTTTTTAAAGGTAAGGTCTTTCATTGGGACTTGGAGCTTTCCAGTTAGGCTAGACTGGCTGGCCAATAAGCTGTGGTGATCATCCACCTGTCTCTATTTTCCCAGTGTGCCAGCATGTTACACAGAAGCTGGGGATTGGACTCAGGTCTTCAGGCTTTTTCAACAGACATATACCTGACTGGGCTATCTCCCCAACTCCCTGTCTTAGTTACTTTTCTATTGTCTTGATAAGACACCATGGGCAAGACAATTTATAGAATGAAGAGTTTATTGGGCCTTACAGTTTCAGAGGGTGAGTCCGTGACCATCATGGTGGGAAGTATGGCAGCAGGCACACAGGCAAGCATGACGCTGGTTCAGTATCTGTGAACTTACATTCTTTTTTTGTTTTGTTTTGTTTTTTCGAGACAGGGTTTCTCTATTGTTTTGGAGGCTGTCCTGGAACTCGCTTTGTAGTCCAGGCTGGCCTCGAACTCATAGAGATCAGCCTGCCTCTTCCTCCCAAGTGCTGGGATTAAAGGCATGCGCCACCAACGCCCGGCTTTGAACTTACATTCTTATACGAGAGAGAGAGAGAGAGAGAGAGAGAGAGAGAGAGAGAGAGAGAGAGAGAGAGAGAGAGAGAGAGAGTGTGTCATAGGCTTTTGAACCCTCAAAGCCCACCCCCAGTGACATTTCTTTCAACAAGACCAGACCTACTAATCCTTGTCAAACTGTTCTACCCACGAGGGACGAAGCAAGCATCTAACTAGTTAAGTCAGTGGTGGCCATTCTCATTCAAACCGCTCACCCCCTTTCAATTTTTTTATTATATAAAATCTTATGTGTATGGTGTTCTGCCTGAATGTATGTCTGTGTGCTGCTTGCACTCCTGGTGCCATCAGAAGCCGGAAGAGAGCATTGTATCCCCTGGAACTGGAGTTGCAGTTATGAGCTGCCATGCGGGTGCTGAGAATGAAACCGGGTCCTCTCAAGAACAAGTGCTCTTAATCACTGAACCGTCTCTTCAGCCCCTCAACTTCATTTTTAGTAATTATTTTTCTTTGGTGTATATGTGTGTTGTTCCACTTCTCTGCAAGAGGAACGTGTTCTCTGAGCCATCGAGCGAGCACCTTTGAGGCAGGGTCTCTTTTAGCCTAGGCTGACCTTGAATTCCTTTTCCTCCAGCCTCAGTTGCTGGGATTACAGGCACCCACCACATTCAGCTTGGATGTCCACTCTTGACTTTCTGACCCCAACCTCATCCTAATCCTGCTAGCCAGGCCTGGACTGCTCAGCCACTTGTCAGGCTTGACTAGGGACTAGTCCTGGTGGTGATGGCTTTGAAGCATTGGGTCTGTCAGTGGTGGGGATCGAACCTGTGAGCTCTGACATGCTTTGAGTCTATTGAGGAGTGCCAGCTTTGGGTTAGTG